CCATACCATCAGAGAGACAGGAATCGAACTGAGTGCTGATGGTCCCTCTCCTCTGCTGGTTTCTTGACAAGAATTTCCTATTTCATCTAACCACCACTTCATTTTATGAGCGCTAAATGATTTGCTAAAGAAGTTAAAACTGAAGAAGACAGAACACTAGCTAAAATTAGCAAAACACTATAGTTAAAAGCTACAAAAATAAAACACTATCTAAAAGCTAAAGAAACAAAAGGCTAGTACAAAACTAAAAAGGTAAAAGAATATGTAAAAATAGCACAGTGGTTGCTAAAATCTAATAAAGGAAAAAGTTTAGACTAGCAAAAAGTTAAAACTCACATGACAATAGCTAAAACTAGAAGCACTTTGACAAAAATACATCAACTATGCTGAAGAAGAAGAGATCTTATGTTTAAAAAACTAAGTATTTTGAAAAGTGTAAAAGTTCTAAAAAAAAACAAAGATCTCCTGTCCTGAACATTTTGTCTACAACAACACATCCGCAGAAATAGTCAGACTACAAGTAAACACGAAAAAATAAAAATAGCAATTTTACATTAGTGTGAGTTCTGACTCAGCATTCAGACCAAGTTTTAGTTCAGGAATAGATTTAAAAAACCTGCTGCCTTCAGTGTTTCCCTCCACAGAAACAGGCCTCTGGGCCACCAGAGGCGACGTGACAAACATCCAAATAAACATCTGACACATAGGGGACCAGATCTGGGGGGAAGTCTGTCCAGACCACGTCGAGCAGGACAAACACATTCTTCTCTGCTGTGCAGCTGCAGGTCACGGATCTCCAGCCGAGCCGGGCCCTGCAGAATTATGTCAACATCTAATAATACACACTGAAAATACTCATTAAAGGCAGATAATTGCTTGAACGCTGCATTCGATTAATGTTAAGGTAGTTTCTCACAGAGCTGTGACTGTTGGAGACCAGCTGTCAGACATCAGGACCAGAATGTGTCAGAACATTCATGGAGCTGTTATATTCCCTCACATGAACTGCAGAGCTGCAGTCCTGTGCTGTWTTTTGAACATCAGTTTCAAAAATGTGGTAAATGAACTGTACTTACAGTGGGGTGCAAAAGTTTGGGCAGCCTTGTTAATTTTCCTGATTTATCTTTATAAATCATTGATTGTTTGGATAAAAAATCAGTTAAATATACAGTACAGTATCATATAGGGGACAAACACAGTGATATTTGAGAAGTGAAATGAAGTTTATATGATTTACAGAAAGTGTGCAATAATTGGTTAAACAAAATTAAGCAGGTGCAAAAATTTGGGCACAAAAAAAAAAACCTTAATTCAATATATAGTAGAGCCTCCTTTCACAGAAATAACAGCCTCTAAACACTTCCTATAGCTTCTAATGAGAGTCTGGATTGTGGCTGAAGGTATTTTAGACCATTCTTCTTTACAAAACATCTCTAGTTCATTCAGGTTTGATGGTTTCCAACCACAGACAGCTCTCTTTAAGTGACACCACAGATTTTCAATAATATTCAGGTCTGGGGATTGAGATGGCCATTCCAGAACGTTCTACTTGTTCCTCTGCATGAATGCCTTTAGTAGATATTGAGCACTGTTTAGGATGGTTGTCTTGTAAGATCCAGCCCCAATGCAGTTTCAGCTTTGTCACTGATTCCTGGACATTGGTCTCCAGAATCTGTTGATATTGGTTGGAATCCATGCGTCCCTCAACTTTAACAAGATTCCAGTCCCTGTAGTGGCCACACAGCCCCACAGCATGATGGACTCACCACCAAATTTCACTGTAGGTAGCAGGTGTTTCTCTTGGAGTGCTGTGTTCTTTTTCCTCCATGCATAACGGCCCTTGTTCTGCCCAAATAACTCTATTTTAGATTCATCAGTCCACAACACCTTATTCCAAAATGAAGCTGGCTTGTCCAAATGTGCTTTAGCATACCTCAAGCTGCTCTGTTTGTGATGTGAGCAGAGAAAAGGCTTCCTCTGCATCACTCTCCCATACAGCATCTCCTTGTGTAAAGTGTGCTGAATAGTTGAACGATGCACAGTGACTCCATCAGCAGCAAGATGAAGTTGTAGGTCTTTGGTGCTGGTCTGTGGGTTGACTCTGACTGTTTTCAACATCCTTCACTTCTTTTTATTGGAGATTTTTCTTGGTCTGTCACTTCGATCCTTGACTTAAACTGTGCCTGTGGTCTTCCATTTTCTCACAATGTTTCTCACAGTGGAGACTGAAAGCTGAAATCTCTGAGATAGTTTTCTGTATCCTTCACCTAAAGCATGACGGTGAACAATCTTTGTTTTCAGCTCATTTGAAAGTTGTTTTCAGACTCCCATGCTGCGACTCTTCAGAGTAGATGCAAAGAGGAGAAAAACTTACTATCGACAACCTTAAATACCCTTTCTCATAATTGGAGTCACTTGTGTATGGAGGTCAAGGGTCACTGAACTTACCAAACCAAATTTAAGTTCCAATAATTATTTCTAAAGCTTTTGACATCCATAAAATGACAACAGTACCCAAATTTATGTACCTGCCTAATTTTGTTTAACCAATTATTGCACACTTTCTGTAAATCATTTCAACTTCATTTCACTTCTTAAATATCACTGTGTTTGGCCTATGTGATATATTTAACTGGTATTTTTAATCCAAACAATCAATGAGGTAAATCAGGAAAATTAACAAGGCTGCCCAAACTTTCGCACCCCGCTGTATATACCACCTTTTTATCCAACCAGGATGCTCAAAGCTTTTTACAATCTGTGTCCTCATTTACCCATCCACACCTTATTCTGTCTCTCTACAATGATAATCTGAATAAAYCATCCTATAGAGACTGGTCMGTGCTTTAAATCACATTCATACAATGATGGGATACATCAGAGGCAGTGAGGGTTCAGCGTCCTGCCCAGGGACAAAATAGCGGAGAATTGAACCATCAATTCTCGCATTAGAGGACAACTACTGTAACCACCCAGCTGCAACAAAAYGTGTGCAACTAATTTTCTTTCAAAGAGCCACAAACTTGTTCCTGGAGTAACAGACCTCTCTCTGCTGGGACGGAGTCTGCAGATTTTACAGCTTCATTGCTTGGCGTTTGTTCTGATTGTTAGCGAGATCAGTGGCTCCCAACCTTTACTCAAAGCCCCACCTTTCTTACTTCCAAGCCAAGCTGAGCAACCCCCC